AAGTCATCTTTGAGACACCAAACCTCAGTTACTGAAGTAGAAAACAATAATGTGGCTAAAAGTGATCCCCTCCTGCCTGAACAGTTCCCTCTGCCTGCAGACAGGGCCAAGGGTCAGAGGAGACCCTCCCAGCTTGGTAAAGGGGGTCCAAAGAGTGGATTTTGGGGTTTGAAGTGTCACACAGTCTGGTAATGGAGTGATTCCCATAGGCTGTATGTAAATGCTGTGGGATTTGTATCTTGTATGAGATTAGTGAGTGAAAATTAAAATATTCAGCACAGACGATTGATTGGATTGTAACGGGAACCTCTCTTGCCTCTCTTACTCCTCTTACTTTACTCTCCTCTCTTACCTCTCTCATGCTCCTGCCTCTCACCACCCCCGCCCCTCTGCAGCCGTGGGAAGGGGCTTTAACCCTTTAAGGGCCGTGGAAATAAGAGGCACAGCTCCATGGGCGTCTGTCATGACAGGAAGAAGGAGCCAAGTTTATTGAGGAACACACTTGGTTTTATAGCAGGACTGCAACTCCCAGAGCAGAGAAAAGGTGATTGTTTCAGAGAGAAGACACCCCATGGCCAGGGCCTGGGCACACACCACAACAGGGCTTTGATTTTTGTTATTAATTTCTTTTTATTGTGACCAAATCATCACCATGGGAGAAATTCTCCCCAACCTTGAGCTGGAGCAGCTCATGGGCTGGGAACAGAGCTGAGAAGCTCCAGCCTGGAATATTTTCCAGGCTGTGATTTTCTCACTTTCTCGATGTGTGTCCCACACCCCTGTGACCCCCTGCCCTCTCTTTACTCCTTTTCCTCTTGCCCTCCTGCTCCCACAGCCTGCCCCGAGCTGGCAGCTCCAAGCAGGGCCCTTTCACCCACACCCTTTGCAATAAACCACGAGCTCCAAAGCCTGGCTTTACAGACCTCTCCATCACTCCCAACCATCCCGACCAAGCAGCTCCTAAACCCCCCAGTTTCCAACCCCCAGCAGTTCCCCAAAGCCCCGAGGCTGGGTTGGGGCTCTTACGTTCGCACTCCTCCACGTCCAGGTTGAATTGGTGCAGGGCCCCCAGGCTCAGGTGCCTCACCTCGGCCTCCAGCAGCAGGTGCAGCAGTGACGTGGACAGGTGCTTGCAGGCTGACATGCAGGCGGTCTGGGCCACCTTCCCCTGCAGGACAAACGGACACGGGGTGAGCGTGACGGACACGGAGACACACGGCGGGTGCCGGGTGAAACTGGGGGATTTGATCAGCGTGGTTGCCTGGCAGGAGATTTGGGATTTTTGAGAATGTGGTGGTGAGGGGAGAGGGGAGATGAAGCTGTGACTGCTGAGGGTGGAAATGAAGTTGGGCAGAACCAACCTCAAAAAAAAAAAAAAAAAAAAAAAAGACGGCGTCGGATGCGTGCAGGCGTCGGCTTCAGGAGCATTCCCAAGGAAAAGCTGCTAAAAGCCATGGAAGAACCAAGGTCCTCTAACATGGATCCATTCAAGCCCCCTCAGAGGGCTTAGGTTTGGTTTAAAGAATGGATTAGGAGAAAAATGAACGATGAGATGGAAATGAAAGCCATTCTTTGAAATGGCAAACCTCAGGTACTGAACGTGGCCGTGGAAATAAGACACAGCTACATGGTCATCCCTCAGCACAGGAAGGAGACAAGTTTTATTCAGAAACATCTGTGCTTATATAGAACAACTCACAACTCCAAGGGCAGAAAAAGGATGATTGGTTCAGAGAGAAGACACCCCTTTCCCAGGCCTGGTCACACACCAAATCAGGTGTTCTATTTTTGTTGATAATTCCTCTCTATTTTGAACAAGTTTTCATCCCTGGAGAAATCCTCCCTAAAGCCAGCTTATCAACCTGGGAACAGAGCTGAGAAGTCCTGGCCTGGAATATTTTCCAGGCTTCCATCTTCTTAGTTTTCTCAAGTGTGTGTCCACAACGAAACAACTAGAAAACAACAGTGAGGCCAGCTAAAAGTGATCCCCTCCTGACTGAACAGTTCCCTCTGCCTGCAGACAGGGCCAAGGGTCAGAAAAGACCCTCCCAGCTTGGTAAAGGGGGTCCAAAGAGTGGATTTTGGGGTTTGAAGTGTCACACAGTCTGGTAATAGAGTGATTCCCATAGGCTGTGTGTAAATGCTGTGGGATTTGTATCTTGTATGAGGTTGGTGAGTGAAAATTAAAATATTCAATACAAAAAAAAATCATATTGTAATGGGAACCTTGCTGTATCACCTCTTACTCACTCAACTCTTACCCTCTCAGCCTTCCTTGTACTCTTTCTCTCTTGCTCTTAAAACCCTGCATGTGCTGATTCAATCTGCAGTGCTCTCAGTCTGAGTTACCACAGTCAGGGCCACCAGCACAGACACCACTGGACTCCTCCAGCCCAGCCAAAACTTCTCAGTTAAATCCATCACAGAACTCCAGCCCAGCCAAAACTTCTCAGTTAAATCCACCACAGAACTTCTTCAGAGCAGACAAAACTTCTCAGTTAAATCCACCACAGAACTTCTCCAGAGCAGCCCAAATTCCTCAGTTAATGCCACCATTGAACTTCTCCAGCTCAACCCAAGCTCCTCAGTTAAATTCACCAGAGATCTTCTCCAGCCCAGCCAAAACTCCTCAGTTAAATTCACCAGAGAACTCCTTTAGACCAGCTCAGTCCCCTCAGTTAAATCCACCACAGAACTCCTCCAGCCCAGCCAAAACTCCTCAATTAAATTCACCAGACATCTTCTCCAGCTCAACCCAAGCTCCTCAGCTAAATTCACCAGAGATCTTCTCCAGCCCAGCCAAAACTCCTCAGCTAAATCCACCTGAGATCTTCTCCAGCCCAGCCCAAACCTCCCCAGTTAAACCCACCAGAGAACTCTGGACCAGCTCATCCCCCTCAGTAAAAGCCACCAGCACAAAATTTCTCTAGACCAGCCCAAATTCCTCAGTAAAGCCACCAGAGAACGTCTCCAGGCCAGCCCAGCCTCCTCAGCTGGTCCCATCTGTGCTGGGATCTCCCCACAATGCTCAGAGTCACCTTCTCCCAGGGAAATTCCCTCTGGAAGTGCCCGTGGCTGGGGGCTGAGAGGGGGAGGTTAGGCCTTGGATAAATCCAGGAGAGCCTTGAGGTGCTCAGAGTGTCCCAACACCAACAAGACAACACCCCAACGATTATCAGGGAATCACGGAATGCTTGGGTGGGAAGGGACCCTAAATCCCATTCCATGGGCAGGGGGCTCCAATGTCCAACCTGGCCTTGGACATTCCCACCCTCTCTATGGCAGGTGGGTCTACAAGAGGAATTAAACCCCTAAAAATGGTGAAATCCTTTGGGACAAGAGCAGGATTTTGCCCAAACCCTGAGGCTGAAATCCCAGGGAGCGATCCCGGCTGCCTGCGTGTGCGACGCCGCCAGGGAGCTTTGGGATCACGGTGCTGCCCTGAGAACAGCTCCAGCAGGAGATTATGTCCTCAAACACTCACAAAAGACTCTTAACACGCTCTCCTGACACCAAGGCGTGGCCTAGGAGCTCTCACAAGCTGTGTTTAAACTGGGATTAAACTCGGCGCTTACGCCGCGCTTCCAGCTCGGTTTCGTTACGGCGGCACGGCAATGTTTGATGTTTTTTTGTTTGTTTTTTTTTTCCCAGCTCTGCAAAGTTGGTTTGGATCTTCAGGCCACATCCATCTTCAGCATGAGAGAGAGAAAAATAAAAAGTTTTTGTGTTTTTTTTTTTATTATTTTTATTTAAAAAAGGAGCTGAGCCGTGCGTTGCAGGGCAGGGCGCTCCATCTCCCAGCAGCGCCCATCACTCACCCCCCAGCAAACACCTGCACCAAAATGAAGATGAAGCACGGCAACCATAAAGTTTAGCAGAGCTCTGGGGTTTTTTTTCCCCTTTGCTTTTCATCATTTGTTTGTGCTTTCCTGACACTCTGGGTTATTTAAAACCCCGCTCGTGCCAATTCCTCAGCTCTGAAAGCCGCGGGAAGCGCGGCGCTGCCCCGCTGTGATTTTTCTTCATTACTTCCAACAGACACTCGAGTTTTTGCTGTGGCCGAGGAGTTCTGACAGGATCAGGGAATATCCTGAGTTGGGAGGGACCCACAGATTGTGGATCCAAGTCTAGGCCCTGCACAGATCCTCCCCAAAATCCCACCCTGGGCATTCCTGGAGCTCTGTGGGGCTGTTCCCATTCCCTGGGGAGCCTGGGCAGTGCCCAAACCCTCTGGATGAGGAATCTTTCCCTGATCTCCAGCCTGACCCTTCCCTGGCACAGCTCCAGCCCTTCCCTGGTGCTGTCCTTGTCACAGCTGCCCCTTGGGAGGAGCAAATCCCAATGGGTCTCCCCCCGAGCCTGCTCTGCTCCAGCTGGAACACTCCAAGTGCCCTCAACCCCTCCACGTGTCACTGAGATGTCCCAGATGGAAGCAGAGGATGGGAAATCAAAGCTCAGCAGCCAAGCCCTGGGACCCTGCAGAGGGCAGGGGATGGGGCTCCTGACCCTCCCTGGAGGAGCAGCAGAGAATCCCTGGAGTAGCTCACGCTCCACATCAGCAGGAATTTCCAGAGGGTTGTAACCCCTGGAGAAGCCCTGGAGGTTCTCAGCCCCGGGTGAATCCATGGAATTGTTAGAGTTGGATCTTAAATCCCATCCATTCCCACCCCATCCATGTTCAGGGACACCTCAACTGTCCCAGGTGGATCCAACCTGGCCTTGGGCATTGCCAGGGATCCAGGGGCAGCCCCAGCAAATCTGGGAATTGCAGCCCAGGCAGGAATTCCTTCCCAAGATCCCAGCCCAATCTCCCCTTTCCCAGTGGGAGCCATTCCCTGGGTCCTGTCCCTCCAGGCCTTGTCCCCAATTCCAGCTCTCCTGGAGCCCCTGCAGGGACTCTGAGCATTCCCTGGAATTTTTTTCCTTTCTCCAGGGGAACACCCCTCCAGATGAACTTCATGAGTTTCCCACGTGCTCACCTCTCCAGCCTGTCCAGGTCCCACTGGATCCCCTCCTTTCCCACCCAGGAAGGTTTTCTGTCCCTCCTGACCAAAATTTCAGAGGAACCCACCCTGTTACAGCCCAGGCAGGGCTCAGATCAGCACACGGGGGTCCCTGCAGGGTGACCACACCTGCCCTGGGCACCAAGTTCTGGTCAGGAGAGAGTGGAGGAGAACTGACACCACCAGTGGGTGAAAAAGAGCCAACAACGGAGATGAAATGTCACTTAATTAAGGCCCAAACGAGGAAAATGGGATGGCAAAAGCAATTTCATCAGCAGGGCTTGGCAGCTCCAGGGCTCTGAGAGGCTTCCCCGAGGGGAAGGGGCACTTCAGGATGTTCCCTGTGGGAATGTTCTCCCAGGATTTATGGCAAAGGGGATCCAAACAAGTCCAGAAGCAGCTCCTGGCTCAGCCTTTTCCACACAGGGTTAGGCCAGGCTTAAAATTGTTTCAGGGGCAAATGTCCACTGTCCTCAGTCTGAACCTGAATCCTCTGGGGCCAGCTGACAACATGACCTTCCTTCTATTTCCATTGTTCTTGAGGTTCAAACACCTAAAAAATCTCTCCTTTAAAAAATACTCCGTTTTTCCTCTCCAAGAACACACGGATGCCTCCCAGTTTTGATCCAGTATATCTGAAGAATAGCAAAAGTGCATGGAATTTTTTTTTTTTTTTTAATGCTTTTTAAACCCAAATCCTTTTTTTTTTTTTTTTTTTTTCTTTTTCCCCTCCTTGTATTTATTATCAGAGAACTCGGAGATGCCACAGGAGTCTCAATCACGGTGTTGAATGTCTGCTCAGAGAACAGAAGGTACCACCAGGGGATGAGCAGCAGCTCCTGCCCCTGGGCACCGAGATTTAAAACCCTCCCGAAATTTATGGGCTTCACTCCTTATAAATAAAACCCAACTTAATCCTTTCCTGCCTCACCCCGAGTTACAGCAGCTCCTTATAAAGTCAGCTGTGGCTTGAGAACATCAATTTCAGGCCATTTTCCCGGGAATACAGCGGGAAATCTGCTGGATAAGCAGCTGCTGCTGACAGGAGACAAACGAGCGCGCGGGCGCTGATATTTCAGAGCTAACAAGCGGCTGCTGCAGCTCAGGGCTGTTTGCATTCCCACTTGGAATGGCACACATGCCCATCTCGGCTCTTTGGAGCTTAT